GTATAGAGTAATAAACATTCTATAAGAATGCCACATTTCGCACTATGTATAATAAAAATACATTATGCATTGGACAAAATCTATCTGCAACTTATGCTTCGCCATATGCATATATCTTTTTGTACATACATACATATATACATATGTATGCATATGTGTATACCTTACAAATTAAGTTTAAGGAACGATCATCGATAAGAGACTTCATTTCATTTAGTAAATGTACAATGCTTATCCTTAGTTTATGGCTATTCTATTTGGGCTATAAACCGAAAACCGAAATCTAACCGAATCGAGCAAATCAGACAGAAATGCAGTGCCAATGGGGTCCCGTTAATTTCATCACTCCTCAGCTGAATAGCTTAAGAATCGCCGAGAAGAGTGCCAAGCTACGATTGCTACTTCGATAATCCGCGATGTTTTAATCGATTTGATATGATGTGTGTGCGTGTGTAGGAGTATCTGTCTGTGGGTTTGTGACTGCTACGCGGAGTGTGATATTCAGAGTTAAATTTTCAGGCGCTAAACTGTATTTTGGCAAAATTTGCAAAGAAATGTGCCAATTTGATTGTTTTTTTTTTTTGCATCGAGAGGGCGAAACCTTTCAAATTTTCGAAGGTGACGTTTCTGGTTATCTGTGCTTCTGTTTCGGCCTAGCAATACTTTTTTTACGAGTTCCAATTTTTACACTTTATGCTCAAGGTACAATTGTCTTTCTTTTCTCTTATTTTCTTTTTTGTTTAATTTGCATTCGTCATTTGTGTTTACTTTGTAATATTATATCTTTGTTTTGTTTAGCTTTCATCACATATCATTTCGAATTTGAAATAAGCGACTACAGTTTTAGGTTACCGATTTAATTTTGATTTGGCTTTCGTGTTAGCTAGTTATCACCGCTCTATAAAATTATCAACTAAAGCAAAATCAAAAAACCGATAAAGAATTTGATTTTGGTTTACAATTTCTTATTAAACGTTCAAGTCACAGCCCTTTGTGGTTTTCTTTTTTTGGTTTATCAAATTCTACTTAAGGGTGAACATGTTAAATGATATACGAATAAGATCGAAATGGAATGTGCCAAATTCTTTGTCAAGTATTGGGAGTTGTGTCTGGTCCAGTCCTGGTATCCGCCAATTTAAGTAATCGCAAGCCGCGAGTATTGAGAGCTCGGAAAATAATGAGAAAATAAAACAAGGTTGGATGCATTGTATTTTTTATGATTTCAATTTGCTTTTCTCTTTTATTTTTTTTGCTCTTCTATTTTAGTGTTAGTTTATTTTATTGTGTGTTACTCTTTAGAAATAATATGTAGGATAGTTTAAGGTTTTTGTATCTCTCGGTATATATAATTCGCACAATTTTGCCAAAATCAGTTTTTGCAGTAAGTTTGAATCCGCTTTAATTGTAAGTATATTGAGCGGATGTATACATGATCTAAAACGTTTGTATGTATAATAGCATGGAATAATAATAATAATTGTAATGATAATGAATCGCTTTACAGCCTATTCATTCTAATACATGTACGTATTTTTAATACACGGAAAAATCATAATAATCTGATAAAATAATCATAATACATAATAATGAAAATGATAATAGTAATCCATTATTTGTATCTCAATAGTTAGACTCGGATCTTGATCTTGATCTTCTCATTACTCTTTAACTTTTTAGTTTTCATTATGCAATAATTAACTTGAATTTGACTAGATTAATTCATACAAGATCGTAAATACATATAGTGTGGTTATAATGTGTGTGCCTGTGTGTGTGTCTGTGTTTTGGGTGACGACTGAATAAATTTCTAGTTAAGCATCCATTTCGTTTAGAAGCTTTCAAAGTTGTTGGTGTGTTGCTCAACAACTTTTGGATAGGAATCTAAATCAATTTGATAATTTTGCATATATGTACATATGTATATGTACTTGTATATGTATTTGTATGTCTGTATGTAGATAGTAGACTTTTATGTAGTTTTATGTTAAATAACTGCGTTTTCCATTCGTTTCATTCATCTGTGTGGGACTTTCATCCGTTTCCCTTCTTTTTTCTATATGTACAAGATATCTCATTCTGAGACTTAACATTTTGTATCAAAAGAGGAGTAAAATTAATCAAATTGAACTCTGATATATGTATATAAGTAATACTTGCCATTTACTCTGGGCTGGGCTAGCAGACTGGAGATCTACTCGTAATACTATTCTGTCCCATGCTAGTAGTCTGTCTGGCAATGGTGGAAATTGAAACTGAAACTATTACTAAACTGATTTTGATATTGATTTGCTGAGGGGAACTCATGAGATAATAGCTATAGCTCTGCCCAAAATTATATATTTTATGCACTTGTAACAAAACTAACTTCAACTTTGATAACAATTTCCCATTCATGTTTCTTACATTTTTAAATATACTCGTATGTGTATATATATATGTATGTATATATTTTTTAATAATTGAATTTCATATATTAAGTATCAAATACGTCTCGAATGCAGATCACTCTGCTGCAGGACCCTCAGACTAGGCGACTCTAAACGTTTTGTTTTCTCTATACAAACTCTAAATAATTGTTAATTTTATTATCTCAACCTAATCTGCATACTTTTCCTATCAATATCCTTTAATTTTTGGCATATTTAGCTGTAGATTTGACGCTTCTCTTCTTTTCCTTCCTTTTGTACAAGTTTTGCTGCTTATCTAGTCAACTTGGTAATGGTTCGAGTCAACAGATTTTTGTAGTTGAGTAAATGTTGGATAAAGATCTTGTTTTTTGTTCCTTTCTTTACTTTATATGTATGCTAATTATAAGTTAGATTCGTGTATGTTCGGGATGTGTTTTGGGTGTGTTCTGTACGAGAGAGTGTGTAACAAAGGCCAAAACGTTGACTAGATTCAAAATGAAGTGTTCATTTCTCTAGTTTTGCTAAAAGTTGTTGTTTTTTTCGTTTTGTTGTTTGTTTCGATTTGGTTTTCTTTTTATAAAAATGCTAATTTAATTGTTTTCCATATATTGTATTAATAATCAATAGTTAATCATATATATCATTTTTAAGTTCTAAGTGTTAAATAGTTTGCTTAGTCGGGCTAGGGCGCGCTATGGTCAACTTGAACGGTTTTTTTATCTGGGCCTGTTTATGTATCATTCATTATCTGTTCTGTTCTTGGAGCTGTGTTTGAAAATAAGTGTCCAAAATCTTCTGTTTCACTTTTCTGTGTATATGTATGTATACATATACATATATATATATATGAATATATATGTAGGTATATATATTTATAGTTATGTATGTATATATGCCTTCTTAGCAAAATTTTTGTTTTCTTACGCTCCGCATTTCTTTTCTTTTGTAGCTTATCCTTTTGCTCATATATTAATTTGAAGTTTGGTTTACTTTTTCTTGCATTGTTTTCATTTATATATATATATATATTTATATATATATATATATGTATGTATATTTGTAAGTACCTGTATTTGTTTTTGTTGCAAGCAGCTAAGTTTAAGTGTAAAATTTTTGTTGTTTGATTTTATACAAATATTAGTTTATTTTAGTTTATTATACTATAAAATCGATTACGATTTTCATTAGTTTTAGAAAAGTTCCCAACCGAACTGCAAACAAAACGAACATAAATACAGAATAACTAATTGAAGACTAGTATCGTAGAAGAATATCTCCAACAGAGCTCTCAGCCCAACACAAGTGATCTTTAGAGTTTTTGGATTAATTTATCTTTTCTAGTTTTGTGTTTACTCCTCCGTTCGTTTTCGCGATTCTCGTTATTAGCTCTAACAAATTCATATTATGATGCTAAATTAGTTTCTCATTTATATATGTATAATCAAAAATGATATTTTTGCTTCGGGGCGAGGCCAGCAGGCCCACCCTGGGGCGGTGACCTGGGCTCGACCTATCCAGTAGTACTATATACCTATTGGTATATATAGATATATACTGCGGTCTGTTCATCCGTAGCCTTTCACATATCCATCAAAGCATTGCGCATATTAAGTGGCCTGCTCTGAGCTGGTGTATTCCTATTTTGTTATATCGGTTTGTTTTACTTACAATTAATTAAATTCGAATTTTTGTGTTAATTTTTCATTCGTACACATACATATACACATGTGTATATATATACTTGTATATGCATATATATATAGAACATTCTGCTTCTTGCTTACCACTAAATGCTAAAAAGTTGCAGAGCTATGTTCCTCTATCAATCATCCTAGGCTCTATCATTAAATCCTTCTGCTTGTCTACACCTCTTATCCATTCAAATCATTTAACTGTCAACTCCATTCGATTTTATCATCATCAGATTAACAAATTCAGTTTTGATAGTTTTTCTCTTGTTTTAGGTTTTCTTTTATTAATTTTATCTGCAGCATCTTGTTAATTTAATAAATTCCCATTACCAAATTTTCTTATAAATTGGCTGCTGCTCTACTAGTACTCCCTCTTTTTTTTGTTTATTATTTATTATTTGTTTCTTTTTTTTGTTTTTTTTTTTTAATTTGAAAACCCAGATAATTTTGGTCTCTTGCCAGTCAGTTTTTGTCTCAAGTTGTTTTTCCTGTGTGTGGTGTGTGTTGGGTGTGCATATGTTATGTGGTTTGTTTATCTCTTGTTAACAAAATTATCAATATCAATGTTTGTTCCTTGCTTCTATAAATATATATATTTATGTGTCTATATATATTCATAATAAATCGATATTTTGGCAAAAATTTTGTTCTTTCTTCGGGCTTCTCAACATCATTATCATTTTGTTTCTGTTGGGTTTCTCTTTAATTTTTTAAATACTGCATTCATCTGCATGTATAATCGAATAAATATATATATAGTTGCATGTATGTTCTGCTGTTTTGTATATATATATATAAATCTATTTAAATTTCAGCTCTAAAGTATTTTCTTTTTTTATTATACATTTTTTTGTTTACTATTTTTTAGGTTTTTTTTCACATGAACATGTGTTCATTTTTATTTTTATAATCATTTTCACTTAGCATGGTGAAGACCATCTGAAAAGAGGTAATGGTATAGCATCAGTAAGCTGATCCAAGTTCTATCCGTAAGATCTCCTTCCAAGACGATCGCCGAAACAGTTCTGGGAAATCTTTCATTTGGAAAGAGATCTTGTTCGTATTCTTCTAAAGTGTTTGCGGGACTGGGGTTCCCAAACATCCGAATTCAATGGCTCACCCTTTCAGTAGTTGCTCCTTATTGTTGTCGCCGTTGTCATGGTTGCTGATGTGGTGGTGGTGTGGGTCCTACTGGTTTTAGGTCTTTCGTTTTTGTTGCTGCCACATGAACAGTTTTTCGACTAGTTCCACTTTGGATAGGTTCTTCTGGTTGCTATTGGATGCCGTGTCCGGTTGAGTTGGCTGTGGATGGGAATCGTCCATTCTGCTGCTGCAGTTGCTGCTATTGTTGTTGGTGGTGCTGTTGCTGTTGTCCTTGCTGCAGTTTCTGGAATTGCTGATGTTGCTGGGGGAGATGTTGCTGGGGGTGCTATAGCGGTAGCAGTAGGTACCATTTCGCCAGCTGGCGAACTGATACTGCATATTAGGAGAGTTTTCAGTGGGAAATGGTGGCCTAAAGCTGCTTCTGCGACTATAGCGGTGTACTGTGGTTGTTGCTGTGGCTGATGCTGTTGCTGTGGATGTTGTTGCTGCTGCTGCAGTTGCAAATTGAGTTCTAGTTTGTGGAATGGCTGCTCCTCCGACTACTCCTGTTGTTGATGATCCAGGTAGTAGATGTAGTTGTTGTGAATTACACTTAAGGAACTCCGATTGTTAATAGGGTCGACTGGCATCCTTTGGCCGCTTCAATTGAACTTTCAGTCTTTTCATGCCAATCTGGAAGCCATTCATGGCCTGAATGGCCGCTTGAGCGCTTGCGGGGTTATCGAAGGACACAAAACCTACATAAAGAGAGAGAGAGAGAGAGCCATTTGATTAGGAACAGCTGAATATAATAGGTAGGGGGTGTGGAGACTCTACCGAAGCATTTGCTCTGGTTTGTAGCACGATCGATGAAGACCTTAGAGCTGATCACATTGCCAAAGGGTAGGAACATTTGCATTAATTCCGCATCGCCAAACTCTTGGGGCAAATGGTAGATGAAGAGATTGCAACCCTCTGGGCCGGATATCGAGCATCCTGGGAACATCAGAAAATCTTAAAAGAAGACATTACAAGAAAAGAAACAAAGTAGAGAATGAAATTAAGCGATGGCAAAATAATAATTTCGATCTTTATGAGTACGAGTATGTCTGCTTTTTTTTTGTTCTGGTTCTGTTTGAATTGAATTCGTTTCGTTTAATTTTGTTTGAGTTTTATTTTGAACTGATAGATTTCTGATTTGTGCTCTGAGATCTGTGAACTGTGAATTGTGTTCTGTGGCTGAATTTGTTTTCTGGACGATTCAACTAAAAACTAGGAAACAAAACCATAACCAAACGAACAGGCTAAATGATAAACATACAGACATTTGAGGTTCGTTTAGGCTAGAAATGCTTAATGAATCTAGTAATAGTTAACTATATGCTTGAGCTGAGATCTCTACCATGTATTTCATCCCCAAATTACCATTATAATATGCATATTCTATTTAAATATATGTAAATATGAAATAAAGTGTCTGTATACATGTGTGCGTGTGTCATGCAGGGTAGATTCTAGGGTATACATAGAGATACAACAGACTACGGAGTAACAGATATGAAAATTGAACGTTACACTCAAGTTAGGTACATACTTAGCATACAGGTACACGCACACAACACCCACACACATATGTATGTATGTAGATATATGTATGTATATGATTTCAATCCACAGACACACCACAGACAGGCATAAATTATATAATGCTTTACCAAGGTACGACGTGGTACTATTGTCACTGTCCAAAAAGAAAAAAGAGCAAAGACAAAACGAACCGAAAAACAAACATAAAATTTTATGAGCAAATGTCTTCGAAATACGCCGACGGTCTTTATATGATTTTAAGCAGTTTATATGTAATTTTTACGATGGCATAAAATGCCTTTGAATGCAGCCATTAAAAACGATTTACGCCTTGCCCGACAAGCATACAGCTCGAAAGGGTTGAATGTCCTCATTCGCGTCCCTTCTTCTCCTTTGAGGGATTGCGGAAACAAATAAAATGTTTATCAAAATAAAATAAACGGCAAAAGGAACAGAGCAGAAAAGAACACTGTACGCAAAGTAATTAATTTTTATGAGATTTTGTTTTAAATTTAATTTCTCTCCAGCCGAAAAGAGAATTAATTACTTTCAGGATTGGCTTAATCTAGCCGCATGATGACCGCTTGTCTGTGTGTGGAATATATGTTTGTATGTGCGTGTGTGTGTGTGTGTTGCATGGTATATTATTCTAATGACAACGAATCAAAGAAAACATGGAGTGAATCATTTACGAGTACTTGATGGAAACAAAAAACTACGATTATTTTCAGTCGTTTGTTAATGTATCATTCGATATTTTTCAAAACTCAATTACGATATCGAGTTAGGAGAACGGAAACGAACGAACTAGAGAACATGTTGGGGGTTAAAGGGTTTCGGGGAATACGGAGGTTACGAAATTCGATTAACAAAATAATAATGAAAAGCTTACCTTCACGCTGAGTGGGTGCAACCGCCGCTAGGGGAGGTGGTAAAGCTTGTGGAAACTGTCCATAGACGGCGGGGAAGGCTGCATTATATATAAATAATTTTTGTTTTTGGTTTTTACACAAAATCCGAAACATTTATGAAGACAACACAACAATTAAGTATACGTACAAATATATATATAGGTATGTATATAATTAAATTTTTCAAGTAATTTTATAGTTTAGTAATAAACAAAGAATAATTCGCACTTGAAAAGAAAATTTCAAATTAGTGCTAAGTATCAGCAGCTCAGGGGCTGGATTTGTGAAAGAGTTTGCAAAATGAAACACATCAGAAAACAATAAATAATTAATAGGTGCGGCTCATAAGCAACAAATGTTAACGGTTTAACATTGAAAAACGCAACTTTGTGGTGAACAAATAGAAAACTAACTAAGCTCAATATATTCAAATCAAAAGCCAACAAAAGCAACCAAGCTAGTGTTGTCGATTCGGTCGAGATTCGAATGGAGCGGCATTACTTTTGCATTGGTTACTGAACAAAAAAATTAATTATGTTTCGACAACATTCGCTGGATTCTGTTAAAAAAAAAAAAAAATAATAATTAAATATGTATATAAAAGTTAGAGTTATATGACACTTTACTAACAATAAAAATATTTATGGCATGACACAACAATTATTATTTATTTCGATAAAAACAATTATGAATGATTGGGTTGTTTTGTTGTTGTTGTTGATTTCTTTGGAACATGAATTGGTGGTTGAAATGATAATAATTTTGGTGACGATGGAACAATCGTACGGCCATTGCCAATGCTTAATTATTAGACGGAGCGCGGCTCAAATGACAAGTTGACATGTTTCGAGTGTGCAGAATGAGAAAGCAATGAATTGGGGCGATTCATCTAAATCCATTTGATGATTTTTATTTTTTCTGCCTAACCTAGATATTCTATCTTAGAGCAACGGATAAAGACTTAGTATGCGCCGGTTCGGGGACACTTACCAACTCCTGGAAATGGTGGCAGACCAGGGAAGGCATGTTGCAGAGTAGCAGCATCGCCGTTTGGCAGACCTTGTGGTGGTATAGTCAAATGCAGCGGATCTGCAAAAAAAAAATTCATTAAAATTGAAGGAATAAAGGAAGAGAGTACGCGAGTCGGTTATTCGATCGGAACGGGTAAACTTATGACTGAATTTCTGGTACTTACGGCCTGGGAATGCAGTTTGCGGAATGCCGTTCGTGAATACCCCGTCCGCTGCAGCAGCTGCTGCGGCCGCGGCAGCTCCGCCGGGCTGGCCGTTGGGCGTGTTGGCGCCCATGCTGAAGTTGGGCATTGTTGGAGAGGGCAAAGAAGGCGGCTGTCCGGTGCCGTTGAGGCCATGAGGTATTTGCGTCGCCAGGGCGGCCATGGGGTTCATGTAGGCGGCTGCCGATCCAGGCGCCGTGGCAGCGGCTGCCATCAGAGCTGCTTGCTGTTGTTGCTGCAGAAGTCCAGAGAAAGAGGTGAGGGGAGCTGTTCACGGGGTTGGAGCTGCAGCCACTTACCTGAGCGTAGGCGCCGTACGGACTGAACTGATTAAAGACAAACGGATTCAGCAGGTTCATATGGCCGGCCATTTGTTGCATGCGCCTGATTTGTCGTTCCTTCTCTGTGTCGGCGTATTTGACGACCAGGCTGGAGGATGCACCCTGTAAAATAAGAGGCCCGAGGGCCGAGAGAGAGGTGAGTGGGAGCTGACTGGCTGGCATTGCATATTTATGGGAGGCTTTTCCGTTTCCCTTAATTTCACTCTTCTCTCGGGAACAGGAAATCCTATTACAGGCCATTATTTTGTGCCGATGACAGCGACAGGTAAGAGTACCTATCCCCCTTGACTTGAGTTCTTTGTTGAGCTTTTGCTGCTGCTGCTGCTGCCGATGCTCATTATTAATATAACATAATTATATTCGAAAAATAAGTATATATCAAAATAATTGGCATACGCGTACTTCAATTTGCATTTCTATTGAAAGCAGCTTATGGGCTCCGCATCGCTTCTCTCCACTACGATCCGCTTTCACCCGCTCCCTACCTTAACCTAGAGACTCCGATGTCATCTATTGTCGTCGTCTCTCATTGATTTCGAAACGCTCGTAAATACGGGGGAACAAAGCACTCAGAACTCTGAACACGGCTAGGCCCGGGGACTCTTCCTTCTGCTTTGCTTTTGATGTCAATTAATTAGCATAATAATGGCTTCACATTTCGCACTCCCCATGTCACCCGAAGAGGTCTCGGCTTACTTATGACAATTTGATTTGAATAGACATTTCCAATATTCGGTAACATTTGGTTTTTGTTCTAATTAAGACTGTTTTTGTAATGGGAAACCTTTTTGCCTGATGCTGCTGCTGCTGCTGCTTCTGACGATGATGATGATGATGATGAATGTGATTGTGAGGGGGCAGGGAACTGGCTGGCAGGAAGCAGAAATGCTTTTATGATTTTGCAAATCATTAATCAAAGTAACAATGATATTGTATTGCATAATTCTAGACCTCCTCTGCCTCTGCCACCCCCATTTGGGGTTGGAGAGTGTGTAGGTGAGTGGCTCAGGGTGTGTGCTGTTAATGAGACTACAACAAAACAGGTGCTTTACGTAGTATAGCAGTTATCTGCTCTTCTCTGAACATAATTTTAATTAATGAAATATGAAACTCGAGTTTATGCAAAAGGCCAAAAGCGGATGGACAGTGGGGAAGGTAAAGGAGTGGGTGTGGAATCGGGGGGAATCTTGGGAATGTGAAACTATTGCTGTTGGCCCTGTCATAGCCCCAGATGCCTGGCAGCTCCTGTGCAATAGGTTTTAATGAGCTACATTAGAACATTAGACGTGGCAGGGTCAGCGTTTCAAATATCATATGAAAATACATTTCAACCTTTAAAGAGTGCAGAATGCTGCTTGGCTGCACTAAAAGGATTTGTAATGGCTTCTTGTAGAAACTGCAGCCATTGGACTGAAGGCGATAAACCTCCATTATCCATTGGTAATCCGTGGCACAAATTGTAGCCGACCAGCTGACATTAGGCGAGCAGGGAACCACAAAAGCTCATAAATTAATTCATTAACGTCAATTTAATTGCCTAATAATCCCAGTCTCATGGCTGCTTATTCCTCAAAGCTTCGCCTACAATAAAAACCACAAAATCGTCGCTTTTAAGGCAGGAATTATGTTGCCAGGAAAATTCTGAGAGGCAGTCTGTCAGGCAGCCATCCAGCCGTCGGTGCGAGTCAATATAAACGCTTAATATATGCCATGAGAATACGTGTGCGGCTGTTTGGCCTGCTCACTTCCGCTTCCGCTTGCCGAAGACGACTGCGACGACACGAAGATTCCATTCAACTGAATTGCTGCCGCCAAATGAAATGAAAAATTCAACACGACACACAGTCAGCGTCCCAGGCTCAGACACAAGCCAAGTCCCAATAGTAGTTGGAGCCAAAGACACAGCCTTAGGAGGAGGCGAGTGCAAGCTGGCAGCACGCCTAACAAGAATGAATCGTCGTCGTGCCTCAGTGGGGAATGCAACAGGCAGCAGGCTGCCGTTTTTGGCTGCCAACTAACAAGCCAACTAACAAGAGGGGTCTTCCCCGGTGCTTGGCGTGTGGATGCCTGGGTCCTTGTTCCTGGACTCGTGCCAGGCGGCACTTTTGGCAGCAATCGCATGTTGCATGCCACTTTTCTGGCGGCGCAAACGTGACGCCATTAGATGGGCCTTCGTCCTTAGCCTTTTCGCCTCTGGCAAATATTTTTTATTGTTTTTTAATGCCACTCGCTCAAAGTTCTGGGTCTCTCTTCCTCTTCCCTCTTCCCTCTTCCTCTTCCCGCTGGTTCAATGGTTCTCCTGCTTTTTTGGCAAAGTTTCAGACCACAGGACGGCCAATTACAATTGAAGGGCTTACAGTGCATTTAAAAAGTAATTTGTCTACCGCCCCAAAAGCCGCGCACGTATTTATGTATTTCAATGCAAATGCAAATGTAAATGCAGTCAAGATTCTCCCGGGGAGGACCTGTTGGTCGATGGGGCAGGGGCCCGGTGGATCTGAGGGTAATCAGAGCTACCCGTGTTCACTAATGGTTCTACAAGCCGCAAGGGCAACCCGAGAGCCCTGACAGGGGCTTTGAAATGCAGCCACACACACATGCACACGCACTCATACTCCGTCGCACATAATAAACTCGCGCAGGGAAGTATGCAACGTTCACCGCATTCAGGGTAGATGAGTCGGTAGAGGAGGCAGAGGACAACATGCATACGTGTCTGGGGACATGTTAACATGGCAGTCATGCCAAAAATTATTATTCCCGCCTCGCCACGTACGTTTTGGAAGTGGCCCTGAACTGGCTTTGGCTTTGTATTGCTGCTTTTTGCTGTGCTTGTTGCATACTTTTAGCCATGAGTGTGAGACTCGATTTGTCAACGCCTAAAAGGACAACATATTTCTTCTGGCCAAATCGCAAAAAAATGGCCAGCAAATGGCCGGCAAATGGTTTTAACAAATAAATTATATATATTTTTGTATACATATACATATGAAACTGATTTGCATTTTATAGTTTCTGTTTCTGTTTCTGTTTCAGATGCAGTTTGTCGCTTTTGCCCGCTTTTTTTTCCAACTTCTTCTGATTCTCGTTTTGGCCGCAGCTTGTTTTAATTGCCAAATGAATTGGCCTGGCCTGACCGGCCTCGTTGGCCTGCCCCGCATTTGTTTAATGGTCAGCCATTTTTATCTATCAATTAAAGCAGCGACAAAGTAATGTTTTCAAAAAATGCCAGCACATAAATTTTAGAGTAATGGTAATGGGAACTTTTGTTCTTTTTTTGTTGCTTTTTTTTTGGAACAACTGCTGATGGGCGGTTGGAGTTTATTTTTTGTATGGATGAAAGTTTTGACTTTAGGGAAAACAGATTTAATCTTTTCGATTGTGTGAAATTGAATTTAAGTTTGGTGATCGCTAGGCGTGGTGGTGCTTCCTATGCTATCAACCTACTTTAAATTGTAATTTATCCACTGCAATTTTCAGTGAACGTGTCGAAAGATGCAACACCTCGCGTACCAGCATGGGCTACAGTTCAATTCCATGCAACACACGGGTTGTGGCACGTTCCGCTGCCTGCCTGTTCAGTGTGACCGCCGCTAAAACGCCTAATGACGTTTACACGGCCAACATAATTACAGTAATAATGTGGCCGAGACTTTAACCTGGCCACGACGACGACAGAACCACTGGTACGAGGAGCAGTAGTGGTGTTGCGGATGTGGATGAGGATGGCGATGATGATGATGATGACATTAGCGAGGTGTCAGGCGACAATTTAACGAGCGACAACGTTGCACACACGTACACGTACACATACATATGCGCGGAAAGGATTCCTGCCTTCCTGCCAGTCAGCCAGCCAGCCAGCCTTTTGTGTGCCACATGCAACACCAACAGAAGGACCAACCAACAGCAGCAGCAACAAAGCACATTCGTCACGAAATGAGGAAGCGGCAACGAAGCTCTTGCTCTCCTCGTGCGTGTGTCGACCAACAATTTTGTATGCTTTTAAATTAGCCAAAGTGTGAAAGTGTCATGTTTCGAAATATGAAATTAACAGGAGCATGAGCTGAAAGAGCAAAATGGAGCTACAAGAACGCGATGCCTCCTCTTTGTTGCTGTTGCTTCTGCTATTGTTGTTCCTGTTGTTGATACTCTGTAATTTGTTGGTCGAAAATTGAAAGGAAGTGCACTTTAATTAATTTTTGCTGTTGCTCTTACGGTCTTACGGCTTAACGCTGTTTCCCTGGAAGAAAATATAACCAGAAGCGGTAGCAGCAAAAATCTTGTAAATATGTGTATTGACCCATTAATGAGAACAACGTACCCTTCATTTGCACTCGAATCTGTCACTCACGCTTATAGCAACGACAGTTTTCAACGAATTTTCAAGTTAATTTTAATTTAAAAGATAATTCTGAGTCGAGCCCAGAAAAAAACTCCCCAATAGAGTAGCAGCAGCAATGGCAGTGCACGGAGAACTAGTAAAACGTAGCAGTAAAACTAATTATAAATTCGTTTTGCAAATTTCAATTTCGCTGTCGTCCACAGTCGAGGGCGGTGTAGAGAAATGTCAAAACGGGATTTCAAAAGGCTTCTTTCTCATCCATCCATCCTCCCAGGAACCACAGGGCGAGTAAGTAATCTTTTCCGGCAAATAAATCACACCATCGCCCGTGCCCGTGCAGTGCTACTGCAGTTGAAATTAGTGTAAATGCCACTAAGCCACCTAAAAGTATGCTCAGCATTAGCGGAGTCCACAAAAAATCATGAAATTTACGTACTATGCGGAAAGTAACTTTGGCCCCGTCCGCACCCTTGGAACCTCACCCCAAGCCGAAAAGTTGCGACGCGCTGTTAACCGCAGCCCTGGGCTGCCCAAAAAGAAACAGGGCGGGGCAGCACGGCAATGCATACATTAAACAACTTTTGGCTCATTGCATTCTGGCCGGGCTCCAGGTCCGGCTCCTCCTCTGCTCCTCCTTTGCTGCCAACAAAGGCCGCCGGCGAAGCGTAAAATGCGGGCAAGCAAAAAGCGCGACCCATCGCAGGACACAAGAGGCAGGACTCAGACGACTGCGTTGACAATGCAACTTGGCCGAGCG